GTCCCTTCCTCCTCCCACAGCCTGCTACCCATTCAGGTGCCAGGGCTGAGCCTGGAGCCCAGCCGGGGAACCAGTTAGGAGGCCCCCCCCACCGCGCACTGGCCCCAACGGGCTCTGTCCTCTCCGCCCTGCTGAGAGCACCGAGCCTCTTCCCCCCTCCAGCCGGTTCCTCGGCACCTGTCCCGTCTCTCCAGCCTGTGTCCTCTCCTTCCCAGCGTGTGACAGCCCCTCTGTGCCCCTCTGCTTCCCACCACGGTGACTCCTTCCCCCACCCGAGGACTCTTCTGAGAATTAGCTCTCCACAGCTCAGCCTCTGGAACCTTCCGTAACTCCCATCTCATCTTCCGGAGCTCTCTCCTCTGTCCTGTCCCTTTCAGAAGACTCCACCTGTTTGTGCCTCTGACCCCAGCCCCTCCCAGGGCAGCTCCTGGTCTCCTATGACGCCTGTAGGGGACTTATCTGCCTCCTGCTCCAGAGCCCACTGGCTTCCAGGTCCCTGACCAAGGCCTGGTGCCCCGTGGGTTTCCTGCCTGCCTCTTTGTCCTTGATCCTGAGTCCTGCTGCCCCACCATGTCATTGCCAGATTCAAAAGCCAACTTGCTCCTCATCTTGCCCCAAGCACCCCGTACCTCACCCGCACACCCCGGTGCCTGCTGGGCCTCCCCCGGACATTGAACAGGAACAGAGGGGCGGTCCTGCTGGCCCATGTCGCCGCCCCACTCTCAGCAGTGAGAGGCCTCCCGGCTTCCCGCCCTCCTCCCCCGTCTGGTGCTGAGGGACCTTGAGGCCCCACAGCCAGCACTTGCCGCTCGGCCCACTCCTCCTTCCTGCTGATTCTGTGCTGCTTGGGGGGCTGCTGAGCCTGTACCCGGCCTCCCGACAGGTCTTTCTCTCCCGGTTTAGCCCCTCCAGTTCCTCTTTGTAGGAAAAAACTACACGGCCTATTACTGAAGGCCACGCTTTCAGAGCGGAGGTCAAGCACCAAAGCTGCTGTCCCGCCACCCCACCCCACCCCGCGCTCTCTCCACATGACAGCCGGTCCCGTCCATGTGCTCCCTGTCCTCTGCTGGCCTCGGGTCTCCTCTCCCAAAGGTGCTCCTTCTGCTCCTCTGGGGTCCAATCTGCTCGCCCTGTGGTGCGGCCCCCTCTCTGACTCCGAGCACCTAGCTCTCACTTCCCTCCGGCTCTTTGGTGTCTCTGGTGGCCTGGCCTCTGGGAGAGGCCCAGCCCGGCAGAGGCAGGGGCTCCGCAAACGCTGTGGAAGGAGGGAGGCGGGGAGGGGCTGCTGGGGACTTCACCCTCCCCCTCCCGCACACGCCGAAGGGCACGTCACTGCCCCCCTCCCTCCCTCCGCAGGCCCCGGGGAGAGCCCTGCCTTGGCCGGCCGCCCCGGGAAGGGCGGTGCCCACGAGGAAGACTACCTGCCCCTGCAGCCGCTGACGGCCCGCTGACGGCCCCTGACGGCCCGCTGATGGCCCCTGACAGCCGCTGACGGCCCCTGACGGCCCGCTGACGGCCCCTGACGGCCAGACGCAGCCGGAGGCCGGCAGGAGGAGCCAAGGAACTCTCCCAGGGAACAGACAAATAAATATTTTCTCATGACTAACCCCACTGGAGAGGTTTGAGCAGTTTCCAGGCCCCTTGGTTGGCCGAAGTCTGCATGACTGTCAGCACCAGCCGCGTCTGTGGCTGGGCTCCCGCCTCCCCTGCAGCCCGGCCCCAGCGGCTCTCCTCCTGGCGCAGGGAGTGGCCAGGCGGTGGGCCTGCACAATCGCGGCCATCCGTCCTCCCTCCCAGCCCCAGCCCCCTCCAAGCCCCCGCCACGCTGTCCTCAAAGCCCGTGAGGGCCAAGGCTTAGACTCTGGAGTGCTGCTTTCTCTCCCCGCTGGGCTTCCTGCTCAGTTGATACCCAGCAAGTCGTTCTCTGCAGAGCAGGCAGGGGCCGTCCTGAGACACAGAGGAACGTGATGCCCTGTGCTCCGAAGGCCCCTGCGCCCAGGCACCCTGGCTGGCGTCCCCAGCACGCCGCGGTTTGGCCCAAGCAGTTCCAGGCGTCTCTGCCACCCCTGCTGCCCCAGGTTCTCCTTAGTACTTTCCACATTCTTCCTCAGGTGAGGGCCTCATGTGTGTCTGATCCCTTGGCTTGGCTCTCTCTGGAAATGAAACTGGAAAAGCAGGTGTTCATGCTGCCTGTCATCATCAGAACCAATAAGCGGAGATAAGGATTGCACCTTTATGTTTGTGATCCGAGAAGATGGTGGGTTATGTACCCTAAAAAATCCCTTACATCTCATATTAAGCCGGCCCTTTTTATAAGGAGAAGAAAAGTGTAGGTAAAGGGTTTGGAATTCAGGAGAAAACAGGTGAGGGGTTTAAAATTCAGGGGAAAAGGTTAATCAGATAAAAGCTGCAGTCCAGGGATTTTCCCAGCATCCCTTCACCTGCTGACAGATGATTCTGTTCTTTCTTTTCTCTCTCTCTCTTTCCTTCTTTCTTTTTCTTTATTGTTGAAAGTATTACATATGTCTCCTTTCCCCCCCAATTGACCCTTCCCAGCCCACCTCTGTGTTGTTTTTTTTAAAAGTATATTTTTATTGATTTTAGAGAGGAAGGGAAAGGGAGATAGGAACATTAGTGATGAAAATCGTTGATTGGCTGCTTCCTGCACGCCCTCTACTGGGATAGAGCCTGTAATCCCGGGCATGTGGCTTGACCACCTGATTCAGAGGTCGATGCTCAACCACTGAGCCATGCAGGCCAGGCCTGACCAGTGATTGTCTGTGCCCTGGGCGGTGGACATCCTTCCCAGGAGCACAAGGCTCAGGCACCGCCTTGCAGTCCTCCTGGGTGCAAAGGTGGCAGTGCGTGCGGGTGTCGTGAAGCCAGGGCAGCCAGCCATACACTGCAGTCTCTGGAGCAACAGCTTTCTATGTGCCGTCACCAAGCCTACTAACTATACATCTGAAGCTAGTTTTTTAACTTCTGAGTTCCCCATCAGAAATTCCCTCCCTCTGAATCACATGATCTCACTCACATGTGGAATCTAATGAACAAAAAAACTGATGAACAAAATCGATCCAGAGACACGGATGCATGGAAAAGACTGTGGAATCTCAGAAGGAGGTAGAGGTAGGTAGGTGGGAAGAGATCAATCAAAGAATTTGTTTGCACATATGGACACAGACATTAAGTGGTGAAGGCCTGGTATGGGAGGGGGCTAGAAGAGCAATGGGGAATAAAGGGGACATGTATAATACTTTCAACAATGAAGAGTTAATTTAAAATAAAAAGAAATCCCCTCCCTCCAATAAGATACTACACTTATTTCTAAGACCAGCTCAAGAGTTGTCATCTCACTATATAGGGTGTCCCCCCTAAAATGTATACACATTTATATACACAAATGTATAAAAATTGTGATGTCCCCCCAAAATGTATACACACGCTCTAAATAATTAATTATAAAGGCAGTGCTTATTAAAATAATTTCATTTTTAAAATTGAGCTACTATCTGTTGAAGTGTGTATACATTGTTTTGGAACACCTTATATAGCCTTTCCAATTTACTCGTCAAAATGAATTTCTCTTCAGTGACTGGCGTGGCTCAATGGTTAGGCATCGACGTAGGAACCAGCAGGTCAAGGGCTCAATCCCCAGTAGGGAGCATGCAGGAGGCAGCATCTCTCTCCCTCTTTCTTCCTCTCTGAAATCAATACCAAATAGATTTTTTATTTTTTACTATTTTTTTAAAAATAAATTTTTATTCATATTATTACAAATGTTCCTTTCCCCCCCTTCTCACCCCACCCTCTGCCCTTTCCCCACCCCCCATTGTCCTCATCCATAGGTGCACAGTTTATGTTCAGTCTCTTCCCACATCCCCCTCTCCCCTTTTCCCCAAGAATAAACAGTTCACTTCCCTTCCATACCTCTGATTCTATTATATTCACCAGTTAATATTGTTCCTCAGATTTTTTTTTTTTTTAGTTTCCTTGGTTTTTAGATTCACTTGTTGATAGTTACGTATTTGTTGTTCATAATTTTTATCTTTATTTACCCAAATAGATTTTTAAAAATAAAAATGAATGAAGTGCTCTCCCTTGGGGTAATGGGTATTATATAATGTGTATACACGATTGCATATTTTTTAATTTTTAAAAAATTAAAAAAAATATACTTTATTGATTTTTTACAGAGAGGAAGGGAGAGAGATAGAGAGTTAGAAACATCGATGAGAGTCATCGATCAGCTGCCTCTTGCACACCTCTACTGGGGATATGCCCGCAACTAAGGAACATGCCCTTGACCGGAATCGAACCCGAGGTCCTTCAGTCCCCAAGCCGACGCTCTATCCATTGAGCCAAACCGTCCCGGCTGCATTTTTTTTTTAAGTGGAAGGCAGCCCTGAGTGTGTCCACTGCGGACAGGCGGGTTTCCATGGCCGGGACCAGTGAGGGGCGGGGAGGCAGGCGCCCCTCGGAGGTCATGCTGACGAGCGCGCTGCGGAGGCTTTGGATCGGCTGCGGGGAGAGCGCCACTGGCGACGTTTCTCAGAATCGGGACCAACTACTTTGGCGACGGTGGCCGCGCCCGGCCACGGCTCTGCCGGTTCGGGTGCGGCATCTCCTGTGAACGTCAGAACAGCCCGGTGTGGCCCGGTTTCTCCACCGTCCCGACCAGCGAGGAACCTCACAGAGGAGCACTTTGCTCAGAGTCACGCTGCGGGGCCGGGGCCGGGGCCGGGCGGGACCTCAAGGCGCCCCCGGCGCCCCCCAAACCCCAACTCCAACCCTCAGCGCCTCCCCGGCGCCCCGCGCGCCGTCCTAGCGCCCTGCGCCGCCTTCCCCACCCTGCGCGCCCCCCGCCCGCCCCGCCCCGCCCCGCCCGCCCCGCCCCGCCCCGCCCCGCCCCGCCCCGCCCCGCCCCGCCCCCGGCGCGCCGCCCCGCCCCCGCGCAGGCCCGGACCGCGCGCGCCTCGGACCCAGAATTCCGCGGCCGCGGAAGGGACCACAGCTCCGCCGGCGGGGGGTCCGCGGAAGGGACCACAGCTCCGCGGGCGGGGGGGGCCGCGGAAGGGACCACAGCTCCGCGGGCGGGGGGGGCCGCGGAAGGGACCACAGCTCCGCGGGAGGGGGGGCCGCGGGAGGGACCACAGCTCCGCGGGAGGGGGGGCCGCGGGAGGGACCACAGCTCCGCGGGAGGGGGGGGCCGCGGAAGGGACCAGAGCTCCGCGGGGCGGGGGGGGCCGCGGAAGGGACCACAGCTCCGCGGGCGGGGGGTGGCTCGGTGGACCGCGCCGGCTGTAGAACAGGCGGAAGGGCCCCGAGTGTGGCCGCTGTCCCCCCGCTCTGTGCGGAGTGGAATGTCCCAGCTCCTTAAGGGCCCGGGCCGCGGCGGAAGCGGCCTCTTCTCCGCGGCTGCTGTGGGTTGGTGCGTCCCAAACCCTGGCGCCGGGAGCCGGTGGCGAGGGCAAGCGAGCTGGTGCCTTTGTCAGGTTTGGGAGATGTTTCCGGGGAGCTTAACTGGAGGGCAGCGGGCGGCGCCCCGGCGGCTTCGGACGGGCGCCGTGCGGGGCGGCGCACGCAGCAGGGCCGCGGCGGCACGTGCTTGCCCCGCAGGCCCGCCGCCCCCGGAGCCTGAGGTCGCCGGAGGCCGGGACCCCTTGGCTCGTCGTTGGGAGTGAGCGAACCCGAGAGAACTCGGTAAGCGGGGGCCCTGCACCCAAGGGCGCTACACGTGGGTGGCGTTTAATGGGCTCAGGACGTGGTCGACTGCCCTGATGATACTGACATTAGGAAGTGCCGTCTGATGCGATAACTGACGATTTTCACGTCATCTGACCGCAGTCGCTGGACCTCGATAGCTTAGTGGTGATAACGAGCAGAATCCGCCCTAAATGCGTGTCCCTCTTCCTGTTCCGACAGCACACCCACGGAAGAGGGCCAGGAGGAGCGGCGCCGCCCTGCGGTGAGGCCTAGGCAGCGGGCTTAGTATGGGACTTGGGTGTCTTGTTTCAAGTTTATTATGCACTACCTCATTGCATAATTGCAATGGCTAGGAGATCCTTGCCCTAAACTGAACCATTTAAATCGCAGCTATAAGTATAAACCCCATTAAAATGTCTCCTGGCTCAGTCAACATGGAGCAGTACTAGGATGGTGAGGGGCTTGACTGCTCTGATGAAATCACCCATAGGAAGTGCCGTCAGAAGCGATAACTGACGATAATTCCGGGCTGACTGCAGTCAACACGTGCTCAGGTGGCTGGTGCCCAGGCGTCAGTTGGTCGGGACTGACCCTTGCTTTCTATATTCACCCAGGTTGCAAATGAATGAACTGTGAGGAGCTGAGGACGGCAGTGAGTCGCACTGGCTGGTCGTGGAGAGGTGAGTGGGTGAGCATGCTTAGCTGGTAGTTGAGTCCAGTGAAGTAAAACTAGGTCAGATATGGCAGTGGAGCAGAGGGCAGAGCATACCCTGGAGTCCTTTTTTTTTTCACTTTATGGATGTATAATCCTGAGGAAATTGCTTTTCTGTTAAAACATGTGATTTTTTTCATTCTAAAAGATGATAGCCTTAGGTTTGTAATGTTTAAGAACCCAAATAGGTCTTATTGGACTTCAGTTTGTAGTTGAGACTTGTGATCAGAACTGCATCTACTGACTGGTATTCCTTCCGCAGGCTGTGTCCTGAGGAATGACCTGGGCAGGCCAAAGCTGGTGGTGGGCAGCAGCTCAGCTTACCCTGGAAGAGGTAAGATTCCATCTGGGCAGTGATTGCCCCATGGTCAATGAATGAGCAGCTAGTTCTTTTTTTATTAACTTGCAGAAAAGGATATCAAATGATGAAATCACCAAAATAGCTGGAATTACCGGCAGATTGTGTGGTGGTGAACTTACGGTTTTCTGAAGATATCCTACTCCGTGAGGGACTGCTTTTGGAGTAGTACGTGTGACTGACACTTAGTTCCTTGCAGGCTGTTTTTCCAGATGGTCAGCCATGCTGCAGCAGAGGCAGAATTTGAAGTTCCAAGGACCAGTAGTCGGTCATCAATTTGGACTCCAGGCGGAAGCCTAGGCTTCTACATTTGGTGAAGGCTCACCTTGTCTCGGCTGGTTCTGTGCAATGGGTAGAGCATCGGCCTGCAGACTGAAGGGCATGTGGCCAGGTTGCAGGCTTGATACCCAGTTGGGGGTGTGTGTGCAGGAGGCAGCCAACCAATGATCCTCATCAATGTTTCCCTCCTTTCCTCTCAAGTCAATAAAAATATATATTTTTTAAAAAGTCTTGCTTTGTGCTGATTATCAGGCCAGTCTTACCAATGAGGGCCAAGAAATGGGCTTTGACCACCTATTAGTACACGTGTCAAACACAAGGCCTGCGGGCCAAATCCGTCCCGCCAGGCCTTGCGATGTGGCCCGCACCGCGCTGTCATCACTGCACTCCGCTGCGTTTCCATCACAATGACAGTTTATGACTGTTCAGTAAACCATTCGGCCCGCGATTTAGGCTGGATTTTAGATTTTGGCCCCTTCTCTGATTGAGTTCGACACCCCTATATTAGTAGGACAAGCACCTTGGTGTCGTTACCATTGTGTCCCTCACTCATTGTTATATTAGGCAAGGGTTGGCAGCTTGCTCCTGAAATTAGCATCTATGCAATTACCAGAGACAACAAGGATGGTCTTGGGTGTTGGTTCTTACATGTGTATTTGTAGAAAGTTAAACTTGGTCACTGCTGGGAAATATTAGCAGTCAGTCCAGCACTTGTCAACTTACCTATGGTCTGCTGTTCTTGTCTTAGGCTGTAAGTCCCAGGGCACGGAAGCATCCAGAGTCCTGGCCCTCTAGTAACCCCTAAAGTGTGCTGTGCCTGCCCGCGCCCCCCCCCCCCCCCCCCCCCCCGCCCGCGCGCGCCTGTGTTGGCATTTTGCCTGCTGGCCTGAGGAGGTAACACCAGGCACCTGACGTGATTTTCTCTGGCTCAGGATTGGTTCCTAGGATTTGCTGTTTTTATTTAGAAAGGATTTTTAAAAGCTTGGTTAAGGATGGATGGAAACTTTGCCTTATGGCTGTCTTATAATGGACCGGATCTGCATTCTAGTCCTGGGTGTTTGATAAGAACCTTCCATGACAGCTTTTGGGAGACTCGGTACTGGAAATGGGCCCTTACTAGCAACACTGGAACAACCCATGGAAAAGTCTGTTAAACAGTCTTGGGATGGGGGGATGGGGGGGTCCACAGGGGACGTTCCCATCTGCTCCAGACGTTTAGGATGTTCTACATTGAAGGCTGGTGGCTGGTCCCCTGGCCAGGACTCTGGAATCATGGGGTAAAGGGAACCCAGGGGTTCACGAGGAGGGCAACTGCTCCTGGAATCCCGCAGCCAGCAGCCCCATCTCCCTACCCCAAGGGCCACTCAGGAGATGGGGTGCCAAGATGCCAACCTGCCTTGAGCACACAGCATCTGGCTGGAGTTTGCTGCCCTGAACAACTTTCCAAATGTAAAATCAGAAAGTCCTGGGTTGGATGTAGGCCCCAACTACATGCGCTCACAGCTCAAGCTTCCAGCATGCCAACCTGTATGTGGGGAGGCCTAGGGCTGGACTCTTGAGCCAGGGATGACTGCTCCGAGCCAAACAAAGATAACGGAGATTGGTATGGTGGACAGTGAGGAGCACACCCTTCCCCGGATTCTCTGATGGGGGCTTCCACAGGCGGGGCTGTCGATAGGTTACTCTGCCTCAGCCATCGCACCCCACGAGGGCTACCTGGTGAGGCCTCACTTCCATGTCACGTCTGAGCTGGACCTGCAGGTTCCCCGTCCTCAAGGTCTTTAGGGGGGGCCTCATGGTCCCCTGCAGGGTCCTGGCCCACTGTTCCATCCCAAGCCTCTACACAGCCCGGGCTCTCCCCCAGCTCCAAGATGGTGGGGAGGTGGCCCTGCTTCGGGGCGCGCTTGCGCAGGCTGAGCAGGAAGGGCTGGGGCAAGGAGAAGATGTCCACGTTGTTGCCCAGGTCAATCCACGTGACACTGGGGAACTTGCTGGGGTCCTTGAGGGTGTCGGTGAGGTCGCGCAGCAGCGCGCGGGTCAGCCGGTTGCCGTTGAGGGCCAGCGTGGTGAGGCGGGGCAGCGTGCTGAGTGCCGGCAGCAGCTGGAGGACCATGTCGTCGGTGAGGCCCGTGAAGCCCAGCTCCACGCTGTCCACCTGCTCCCCGCAGCGCTGCAGGTAGCTGCTCACCCGCTCCAGGTCGCGGGAGGTCAGCGGGATGCCCGACAGGTCCACCGTGTTGTCCAGAGGGCTTCCAGCCAGGACAGCCTTGAGGCTGAAGAGGAGGAGGGACAAGCAGGTTAGGTTACGGGAGGGAACAGACCCGTTTCCCGGCACTACCCCACATCGGGCCTGGCAGTGCCCGCTGGCCAGAGGGACCACAGGGAAAGCTCAATGCTTCTGCAGTGACTAAGGTGCACTCAAGCCACATGCCTGGGTTTGAGTGTGACCTTGACATTAGGTCCTCAACCTTTCTGCTCTTCAGTTATTTTCTGGAAAAAATGAGCTAGTTGAGTGCTACAGGGTTGTTATCTGAAAATAAATGCAAAGCATTTAAAAAGTGCCTTGTTTGGGTGATGAATAAATATATTTGCTGCTGACATTAATCACCTGAGCTGATCTCTGACACCTCCGGTTTTAAGGCCATCTTCCCTATCGGATGGCGATCCTTAGGGAGATTCCCACAAGACAGCAGACGCTGCCTGCCCGGTGGGAGCTGCTGACCCTGGTGGCCGAGTGCTCTCCGCTCCCTGTCTTCTGCCATTGCTCGCTCTTCCCCTGCTCCTTGCTCTGGCCACAGCTCCCCGTTTGCAGGTGTCTCAGGAGGGGAGGGGGCGGTGGTAACAGTCTGCACACAGCAGCAGCAGCCTGAGCAGGCGAACCCCTATCCTCTGTGCTCGGGGCCTCCTGAGCTGAGAGGCCCAGCCGCAGGGCGTTTGCAGGTGAAGCTCTCAGGCTGACATCTAAGGGCCGGGAACACAGCTGGCATTGTTTAGGGCCGTGGTCGGTGACTCGCGAGGCACATGCAGCTCTCTGGCCCCTTGAGTGTGGCTCTTCCACAAAATACCATGGCCTAGCAGAGTCTATTTTGAAGAAGTGATGTTAGAAATTTAAGTTTAAAAAATTAGGCTCTCAAAAGAAGTTTCAGTCGTTGTACTGTTGATATTTGGCTCCGTTAACTAATGAGTTTGCCGACCTGGTTTAGGGTGATTTAGTGTTGGCTGTAATTCTCATTCATGTCATTAATAAAGCAGGCCTATGCCAGCAGGGAAATAGGAAGTGGGTGGTTAACAGCCTGAGCCTGGGGTGTGGATCTGGCCCTGCCACTTATCAGCTGGTCGATGTGGCCAAATAGCAACAGTAACAGCTCCTACCTTGGTCAGCTTAGGTGCCAGGCACGGCCCTGGGCACCAAGGCCATGTGAACAAGATGGATAAGACTCCTGTTTTTATTCCGCTGGAGAGGGGCTGGACAACAAACAAGATAACCTGAGAGTCAGGTGAGAGAGTAGCCGGGGTGGGGGAGAGGCACGGAGGTAACCTCCGAGCTGAGCGCAGAACAAGCAGGCCATCGGGAGGGCTGGAAGAGTTCCAGCAGAGGAGGTGCAAGTGCAGAGGCCCCGAGGTTGGAGAGAGCTTGGTGCGTCTGAACCGGCAAGAAGGAAAGCGTGGCAGGGGCGCAGGAGAGTGGGAGGGGAGAGGATGAGGGCTGGGGACCCATCACGTAAGGCCCTGATTGCATCTCACGCAGTGTGACCAGAGGCGCCTTAGAGGTGCAAAGCCGAATGAAGAGTGGACTGAGCATGCGTGTGAGTTGGGGAGCCAGAAGAGGCCCCTGGACTCCGGCAGAGCTCACGTTTCCAGCTCCTCAGACCTAAACGGCTAGCTCACCAAGTGTCCTGGCATTCCAGGTGCCAGGTTCTCCCTTCCTGCTGTCTGCACAGCAGCCCCTGCCCCCAGCCAGTGGGAGCCTCACTGCCTCCACTTGGAAAGGCCTCCCAGGACCCACATGCTCCTCCCCCCTGCCCCTCCCGCTTGGGGGTGGGGGTGTCTGGAAGGGAAAGGAGCCCCTTTCTCAGGGAGGGGCAGTCCTCCCTCCCCAGCTGCAGGCCTGGCAGGGCGAGCCCACAGCAGCCTTGGGAACGCGGGGGGCTCTGCGCCCACGTCCTCCCCAGGAAGTCTTCCTTCCGGGCTCCCTTGCATCCACTTCCTGCCATGGCCACAGGTTCTGTGTCCGTGTGCCCTCCTCTCCCCAGTCTGCAGGGGCCACACCCCGAGGGTTCTCCCTCTGCATGAGCCAGGGATGTGCTTGGGGTCTGGGTCTCCCGAGGGGGATAACCAGGAGGCACTGGGGGTTCAGTGAGTGATCGTGCCCACGTTCACTGCGCCGGGAATTAGAAACTCATGCCCCCCCTCCCCACCCGACCATTAGAATGAGCCACATGCCCAGCTCCTACCCCACAGAGGGCCCTGCCCCCTGGAAGGCCCACCACTGAGCTCTCTCCTGCTTGCCGCTCGAGGCAGCCTTCCCGCTCTTCTCCTCACCCACGCCCTGGGAGGGTGCTGTGTCACACACCCAGCCTGACAGGCTGTCCTTGCGCTGCCCTTGGAGAAGGAGCCTGGGCAGTGGGGCGGGCAGATGGTGACTCACCAGGCCTGTGGCTTCCTCTTCACCAGCCCCCGGTGCCGCCTCCACTGGGAGTGGGGGCTGAGGTGGTATGCCAGCTGCCGGCACAGCTTCTCCATGGCGCCCAGGGCATCGCCTTCCTGCAGAGCAACCACAGGGTGTGTGTGTGAAAGCCCAGCCCTACCTCCAGCTTCCTGTCCTGCAGGCTGAGCTGGGGCGCTGATCCTCTGGCTCGAAGTGGGTGCCCTTCGGAGAGGGCAGTGGCTAAAACGACCTGCATGATGGTTTCAGTTTTCGCGAATTAGTTGCTGTGATTGAAAACTGGAGCTTTATAGAAAAGTCGGGATGCCAGGTGATCCGACAACTCACTGGGGCCGACTTGCCAGCTGATCCCTTAGCAGGACTCTGGTCCCGGCCACTCCCCTGCACTCAGGGCCATTCTGCTCCTTCACTTGCTCAACAAATACTTACCAAGCACCTGGTGCCAGACACTTGTCCTCGGAGCTGAGGTCGCAGCCATGAGCAAACGTCCTTGCTTTGTACTTTGCACTGGACAGAGGAGAGTGAGACACTGTCACCATGTCCCTTACCCAGGATGAAAGTGGGAAAGTAAAAGAAGGAAGGAGCATGTCTTCCCCAGCCCAGTTCATTCATCTGTTACCTGTCTGGCTCATCAGTGTTTGAGTTTGAGATCCTGAGGTTATGAACTAAATTGTGTCCTTCTAAAACTCTTTAAAAAAAGAAATGTTTTTATTCATTTCAGAGAGGAAAGGAGAGGGAGAGAGTGATAGGAACATCAGTGATGAGAGAGAATCACTGATTGGCTGCCTCCTGCACGCCTCCACCTGGGGATCAGCCCACAGCTCAGGCATGTGCTCTGACTGAGAATCGAACCGTCAACCTCCTGGTGCACAGGATGATGCTCAGCCAACTGAGCCACACTGGTTGGGCCTCCCCCGCCCCCCAATCTTTAATACCTCAGAATGTGACTCCTTTAAAGAGGAATTAAGGTGAAATGAGGTCTTGTGGGTGGGCCCTGACCCAGTGGCTGGTGTCCTCATAAGAGATTAGGACACAGACTTGAACTGAGGGAAGACCTTGTGAAGATGGCCATCTACAAGCCAAGGAGAGAGACCTCAGAGGAAAGGAATCTGAAGACACCCTGAACTTGGACTTCTGGTCTCCAGAACTGGGAGAAATAAGTTCCTGTTGTGTAAGTGGTGTTTTTTTCACGGCAGCCCTAGCACACGAACACCATGGATTAAAGAAGGCAGCGGAGAGATTCCAGAGCTACTCCAACTCCATCCCAAGGGAAGTCAAATCAACTAACAGCCAGAGCCCTGGGAGAGTGGCTGAGTGTGTGCTCCCACCAGATAGGCTGGGGCCAGCGTGCCAGGGCTGGGATAAGACCCACCTGGGACAGCAATGTGGGTGTGGGGAGGGGTAGCTGGTAACCCAGGCCCAGGGCTCAGCATTGCACCCAGCAGAGTGAGCCCTTGGTAAAAGCCAGCTTGGCTTTTATTATCATTACTAGGGGCCTGGTGCATGAAAATTTGTGCACTGGGCTGGGGGGTGGGGGGAGTCCTCTCAGCCAGACCTGCCCCCTCTCACAGTCAGGGGATGTCCTACTGATGGCTTAGGCCTGCTCCCCTCAGGCCCCTCTTCAGGAGGCGACTAGGCTGATCAGGAGAAGGCATCACCCCCATCAACCTGCTGCTGCTGCCATTGCTGGCTGCGGTGGCTGCTAGGCCTGAGCCCTGGGCCTCGAAGCCATCAGGACTCACGGCTGCCTGAGGCCCGGCTTCACAGCCGCTGTGGCTTTGTGCAGATGGAAGTCTGGAAGACGTCCACTTTAATTGGCATATTACCCGTTTATTAGTATAAGTCATCCTCACTCTGCTAACAGAGGAGCAGCACATTGAGTCATTAAGAGGATGAACATGGCACCAAACTGTGGATTCAAATCCTTGCTTTGTCATCTCCTATGTGACCTTGGGAAAATACCTTGACCTCTATGCCTCTGATCCTCACTTGTAAAGGGATAACAGTACCAACCTCACAGGGGATGGAATGAAGTACTCTGAGTATAGCTGGGCACACAGTATGCTCTCCAGGAATGCTCGCTGAATCAATACTGGGCTGTAACCCTGGCTGGTTGCTCAGTCGTTAGTGTCAACTCTCAGACTGAAGGGTCACAGGTTTGATTCCCTGTCAAGGGCACAGACATGGGTGCAGGTTCGATCCCCAGCTCCGGTTGGGACGCGTGCAGGAGGCAACCAATCGGAGTGTCTGTCTCTTACATGGATGTTTCTCTCCCTCTTCCTCCTCCCTCCCTTCTACTCTCTCTAAAAATCAGTGGAAAAAATATCCTCAGGTGAGGATTAACAAAAATTAAAAAATATGGCGCTGTATTACAGACATGGCACAAACAGAACTTCAGAAGGGTGAAGGAGGAAGCGTACTTCTGCCCAGGCTCAGGTTTGAGCCGGCTTTAAGAATAGATTAGTGACAACACTTGTCGGGGCGTGGGGGTGTGGAGGGTGTTGTAGGCGTGGGACAGGTGACAATCTGGAGCCTGATTTCTCGCCACTTCCATGGCTACTGCCTTGGCCCACGCTGCTGTTGTCTGTAACCTGAATTAGTGCACAGACACAACACCCTGGTGTAGCACATGCCTTCATTATCTCCATTCACAGAGGAGGAAACAGGCTCAGAGGGCCAAGGCTGATGAAAAGGCAAGAGAAGACTCTGAGGGAGGGAGACCAGAGACAGAGGAGTTGGAAGAGGGGAGCCGAGTGTCTGAAGCGGTGAACGTATGTACAAGAATCAGCAGATGGAGGCAGGCCCGAGACAGAATGAATCTGGTTTAAAGGAAACCTCTGGTCTGGTTCTCCACAAACCTCACCTCTTCCGAGTGCCTGAGGCTGCCTGTGAGAGAAACAGATGTCACCTGTCACTCCGGGCAAATGCATTTACAGCCTGTAGGTTCCTAGACTTCGTTTCTTGCTGAGTCTGGACATAGGGTGTGCGTTGGGAAAAATGGTGCTGAAGCAGGCAGGGCTCCACCATGGGGGCCAGAGGGATCCCTGCAGGGCAGACAGCACCACTTTTGCATCCTCTGTCCCTCTGACGGGGAGACGGAGAAAGGGGTGGACTGGAGGCAGACAGGGCGACTCAGGGCCAGCTCATCTGCTTATGTGGTTTGGGCACCCCTGCGGGGCCCATGGCAATGGCTGAAGTGACGGAGGCCACTACACGCGATTGACCACGTACAGGACGGAGGGGAGGGGACGGGAGGATGAGGGGGTCTTGGTTTTGGCAAGGGGCTCTGGACAAGAACCAGGAGGAATGCCCGGCCCATCTCCAGCTGGGAGACGTGATGAACTTAGGGGCTGGGCTCAAGGCAGGCCCCGTGGGATCTGATGGAAGCTCTGGCCCGGAAGTGAGCCGCGGGGAAGGCGGGGGAACAGCTGCAGCACCGAAGGTCAGAGACAGACCGGACACGGAGGCGAGGAGGTCAGTCAGAGGAGCAAGAGGGCAGCCCCGGGCACCGAGGAGAAGGGCGGCGAGGGCCTTGGCCAGCGAAGGCGCCAGGAGGGGCTGGCATGGTGAAGGCCAAGTTGGAGGCCAAAGGGAGAAGGGAGGTGACAATGGATACGGTGCTCTACAGCTGCAGTTCTTCACCGAGGACTCTCGTACCCTCGGTGGCCAGGGCAGCCCAGCACACGGGTTTTAAAAGCTCCCCAGGTGATCCCCAGGTGCTGCTGAGGTGGAGAGCGCCATTTCAGGCAAGAAGGACCAGTGGGTGAGAGCTGGTGGTCTGCCTGGCATCTCTCCTGGACCCTGGGACAGAGTGTTGCCAGTCTCCCCAGTGCCTGCTCCAAAGCTGAGAATGGGCCCTGGTTGGGCAGTTGAATTGGTGAGAGCATCATCCAGATACAACAAGGTTGTGGCTTTGATCCCCTGTCAGGGCACATATGAGAATCAACCGGTGAAGGAATAAATAAGTGGACCAACGAATCGATATTTCGCTCCTTTTCTCTGTAAAATCAAAGCTGAGAACCGTGCCCCTCTCCAACCACTTCCCAAGGTTTCCAAAATCTGAGCAACTGGGCCCTGATAGGGGGAAAAGAGGAGACAAAGCAACGCCAGTGCGCGGCACTGCCACAAGGGGGCAGCTGTGCGCAGGGCGAGGCTCTGGCTGCTGACCTGGAGACTGGAGGAGCGGTTCCTGCTCCACTCAATGGGGGCAGCAGATGCCGTCACCTAACTAAGCCACTAGAGGCAAATGTAAGCCATGTCCTCACGCAAGTCCTGACTAAACAAACGTGTCTGGACTAAGGGAACAACCGCCAACATTGCTGGAGCGCCCACGGGTGAATGCCAGGCACTGCCTCTGCATTGCCTGCGTGAGCTCCTCACAGCGCTGCAACACACAGCAGTCCCAGGAAAAGGGCTTCTGGTGGCTCCACTTTGCAGATGAGGAACCTGGGCATCAAGAAGCTGAACAGACTGGCAAGCCACACAACGTGAAAGAGGGAATCAGGATCCAAAGCTCCAGGCCTTGCAGGAGGCTGGGCTCCCAACCTGCCAGCAGGCCCTGAGCTTTGCAATGCCCCCGGGAGAGGCGCTTCTATCCTTGCACCCAGAAAAGACTTAAGCAGCCCCCTCGAATTTTCCTTCACCCCACTGCTTTCCAACAGCCCCACCCCAGGCCTCCCTCCTGCGGAGGACAGGACAAAGCAGGACTGGCCCAGAGTGGAGCCAGTGCTTGAGGTGGGGAATGAGCGATGGGAGGGAAGGGAGGAGGGAAAGAAGGAGAAAGTGCCTCTCAGGTACAGAGCAGCTCACACCCCCTGTAACCTTGGGGGCTCTGACAATGAGCAGCACATGTTATGCACATCAGTGATCCCTGCGCCCTGCGCCTGGGCTGAGCACTCCCTTTTCACAGTGCTGCAGCCCTTCCTGCAACCACATGCCACTCCCGAGCGACAGCTGATTGGCCCAGAAGCGGGCACTGGCAGAGCGCAGCCAATCAGCCCTTCCTCTGCATCCTGACTCCTCCTCCGGCCTGGACAGGGGTGTGAATCAGAAGCCATGGGCTTGGTCCCCGTGTCTGGGAAAGCAGGGAAGAGTGGGTGGGTCTGGGGGCGGTAGCAGAGGGGAGAAGTCTGCACTGTTTGCAGGTTTAGTCCCTCTTTCGGCCCCTCAGTGTCAGGGCAAATTCTTTCCCTAGCCTGAGCAGCCGAGTCCTAGCCACACTGGAAGCTCCAAGGAAGGAGATGGCAGGAGAGGGTTCGGGGCAAGTCAGGAGAGTGGGCACCGCTGGAGGCCCCGGAGAAGGGTGCCGAGGGACTGACCTCTCAGAAACGCTCTTCGAGGTGTTCCTCCCCTCCTCCCCCCGGAGCGCCCCAGTGCTCGGACAGGCCCCATGTCTCCTCTGAGACAGCAACACCCACCTTACATGCGGCCCCAGGCACACACGCAGAGCTCTCATCACCCATTCCTAAACTCACTCACTCAGCGGTCCAGCTGGAGACTGTGCTGGGCTCCTGTTTGCCCCCTCTCCCCAGGCCACTCTCTGTCCTGTGCGCTCTGAAGGCTGGGCATCACCCAGCCCCTGGCCCAGGGCTCCCAGCGGCATTCAGCTAACTAACGGAGCCTGTGCGAGGGAAGTCAGAGGGCAGGAGGAAAGGTCAGCGTTTCTTTCATTCCCTCCCTGCGTCAGCCTGCAGCAGCCAGCCTCCCAGACAGCCCTTGCGATTCTGGCTCTGTGCCCTCGCCCAGTCTCTGTTCTCACCGTCTCAGGGCTGACCTAGGCAGTTGGCAGAATATGGTGGTGATGGCAGGCGAGGTCATAAAGAACACTGTGCATCTGCCTTGCCCGCTCCTGGGTCACCCACTCTGGGGGCAGCGGCTGCTATGCTGTGGGGACCCTCAGGGCTCCTATGGAGAGGCCCCTCGGCAAGCACCAAGGCCTCTGCCAACCACCACCAATGTGCCACCCTGGGGGCGGGGCGGGCTGCCACCTCTGTCCAGCCTTCAGGTACTCAGCCTGGGCCAGCCAGTGTCTCGAGAGCTAAGCTAGCTGCTAGGGTGCCTGCCCCACGGAGACTGGACAGCAGTGTAAGGCCCTCAGCCTCAGGCGGTCTGTCAGGCAGCAATAGACCCCCCCCCCCCCCATCTGGAAGAGGCATTCTCATCCCGGCTTCAGCAACAGCAGGCTTCCAGCGCCGCCCTGGCAATGACTCCTGCTGCTGGGGTCTCCATGTCCATTCATTTCCTTTTCCCTGCCCGGACTCCTAATAATTGCTCTTAAAAATTCAGTGGGAAGGGTCTCCTGCGTCACGTTGCTCGGCTTGGTGCAGATGTGACCGTGAACTGTCTCTCGCCCCTTGCCGTTTGTTTTCTCGTGGGGAAGGCAGACACTACATTAGCCAACAGAGCAGTAAGCCAGATGATTTTGGAGACGAGTGAAATGATAAAAATAAACAAGGAGAGGAACAGGGTGTGAGACAGGGCTGAGCAGGCGGCCGACCAAAGGTCTCTGAGAGGCGACCTGCCGGCTGCTTCTCCGTCCCCAGACCTGGCGGCGGCGCCCGGAAACGCCCGGGGGCGGGAGAAGCTGCCAGCCCCAGAGGAAAGCCCACCAGGTCTGGGCGAGGGGCCCTGAGACAGAGGCGCAGGAGCGGCCAGGGGGCAGCAGAGCTCCTCAGTCGGGAGAGGATTGGGTGCTGCGGCTGAGGGTGCCCCAGGCTGAAGCAGAGTTGGCGGGTGGAGGGGGCGCTGGGCCGGGCCGGGAAGGAGTCTGGGTTTTACTGAAATCACAGCACCCGTTGCGTGAAGACTTCCCTCCCTGCCACAGAGAAGCGCGTCTTTTGGAAGCTGCTGGCATTGGAGGGATGGAAGAGAAGGGATGGAGACAAGAGAAAAGCCAAGGCCTTGTGAGATAAGCAAGTCATCTTTTCTGTCAAAGAAGTTTAGACAGCCGCCATGTTGGCCGCATGGCTTGCAGCTCCCCTGGGGGCCGCCATCTTTAAAAAGCAAAGGCCAACCCCTCCCTTTGAATTAGCCAATTGTGAACGATTGTGCACCTGAGCTCCGATCAAGAGCAAGGGACAGGTCATGTGCGTCAGGGATTATAAACCGAGCAGACCGCCTGCTCTGTGTGGGTGTGCTTCCAGACCATGTGTGTGCGCCCTTCTACGTAGAAGTAGATATGTTTGCCCTGCTGCCTGGCTCCCGGGTGTTTTGTGTTCTACCAGAACCCCTGACTTGGGGGGCTCGCCTTATTTCTAACAGCATGGAGTCCCTCCCCACCAGGTCCCGTGGGCAGGTCTGTGTAAGCCAGCCTGGGGCCACAAAAAGAGGGACAGACCCTCCCACCTGAAGGGGCCGGGCCAGAGCGGGCACAAGGAGGGAGCTGGGTGTGAAATAAGTCCCCTGGGGCGGGGACTGAGGCCATGCAGGGCCGCCACCAGACACCTAAGGAAAAGCCCCCAGGTGGGCACAGTCGGACCAGTGGCCACGGCTTGGTGGGCAGAGAGGGTCAGCACTGTCTCTGTGCCCGCAGTCTGTGCAGGGCGCAATGGACGACAGGAGGGGCCCCGGCCTCACAGCGCGGAAATGCGGGCTTCCCGTTGCTGGAGCTCCCCATTTCCAAGGGCCACTGACTATAGGACTGTGTGAAGTATCTGCATTTTTAAACTTTGGCAATAAATCCGGATTTAAAGCCCCATGGCCAGGCAAAACTGGTGCTGATGGTGCCAAGGCCCAGCCTCAGCCGTGGATGCCGGGCCTCCGGCCTGCCTCTGCCCTCTGCTGTCTGCACGCGGGGGCCTGTCCTCCTGGGCCTGGGTACATCGACCAGCCCTTGTGGGGCACGGAGCTGCTCTGCCCAGAAAGATGCCCTTCACACCCCCGGACCCGCTGGCTTAGACGCAGCCGCCTACCGGCTTGGGGCAGTGGATGTAGCGAGCCAGGCTGATGATGAGGTCGTGGGTGATGGGGTCCACCAGGTTCCGGAAGCTGGCGTAGCGGTACAGCACGTCATCCAGCGAGGTCGACTCCATGCCCAGGTCCTGCAGGATGAAGGGTGCGAGAGGTCAGGGGCGGTCCTGCCCTGCCCCCACACCCCTCCAAAGGCCCAAACCCCTGGAGGCAGCGCAGCTCCCACACAGCCCGGCCCTGCAAGGGAGGCCCCCTCCGAGAGGCCTCCTAACCGTCCAGGAAGCATCTGAGAGCGTCCTGGGCGCCAGGCAAGCCCTGCGCTGGCCGCCAGCCTAGGCCCTCTCCGGGGACAGCACTATCCCTGCTCAGGCTCCCCGGGAGGAGGCGGAGGACGCAGAGGAGGAGGAGGAGGGGAAAGAGGAAGAGGAGGAGGAGGAGGAGGAGGAGGAGGAGGAGGAGGAGGAAGAGGAGGAGGAAGAGGAGGAGGAGGAGGAGGAGGAGGCGGAGGAGGAGGAGGAAGAGGAGGAGGAAGAGGAGGAGGAGGAGGAGGAAGAGGAGGAGGAGAGGAGGAAGAGGAGGAGGAAGAGGAGGAGGGAGGGGAAAGAGAAGAGAGGAGGAGGAGGAGGAGGGGAGGGGAAAGAGGAAGAGAGGAGGAGGCGGGGAGGGGAAAGAGGAAGAGGAGGAGGAGGAGGAAGAGGAGGAGAAGGGGAAAGAGGAAGAGGAGGAGGAAGAGGAGAGGAGGAGGAGGAGGAGGAGGGGAAAGAGGAAGAGGAGGGGAGAGGAGGAGGAGAAGGGGAAGAGGAAGAGGAGGAGGAAGAGGGAGGAGGAGGGGGAGGAAAGAGGAAGAGGAGGAGGAGGAGGAGGAAGAGGAGGAGGAGGAGGAAGTGGAGGAGGAAGAGGAGGAGGAGGCGGAGGGGAAAGAGGAAGAGGAGGAGGAGGAGGAGGAGGAGGAGGAGGGGAAAGAGGAAGAGGAGGAGGAGGAGGAGGAGGAAGAGGAGGAGGAAGTGGAGGAGGAAGAGGAGGAGGAGGAGGGGAAAGAGGAAGAGGAGGAGGAGGAGGAGGAGGAGAAGGGGAAAGAGGAAGAGGAGGAGGAGGAGGAGGAGGAAGAGGAGGAGGAAGTGGAGGAGGAAGAGGGAGGAGGGGAAAGAGGAAGAGGAGGAGGAGGAGGAGGAGGAGGAGGAGGAGGAGAAGAGGAAAGAGGAAGAGGAGGAGGAGGAGGAGGAGGAGGAGGAGGAGAAAGAGGAGGAGGAGAAAGAGGAAGAGGAGGAGGAGGAGGAGGAGGAGGGGAAAGAGGAAGAGAAGGAAGAGGAGGAGGAGGAGGAGGAGGAGAAGGAGGAGGAGGAGGGGAAAGAGGAAGAGAAGGAGGAGGAGGAGGAGGAAGGAAGAGGAGGAGGAAGGGAGGAGGAGGGAGGAAGAGGAGGAGGAAGGGAGGAGGAGGAGGAAGAGGAGGAACAGGGGAAAGAAAGAGGAGGAGGAGGAGGAGGAAGGGAGGAGGAGGAGGAGGAAGAGGAGGAGGAGGGGAAAGAGGAAGAGGAGGAGGAGGAGGAGGAGGAGAAGGATTGGGGCCAGGCGCCTGGCTGCTTCTCCATCCGCGGACCTGAGACGGCACGCCTGGAAACGCCTGGCGAGGGGACAGCACCGGACACAAAGCTCGTCTTTTTCTGGCTTCGGAGGCCATTTTCCCTGCTTCCTCTGTAGATGACCTGACCCCGGTGTCCCTTTGCCTGGGGGGGGGGGGCGCTGAGCTGTGGGGTTGCGGAAGCTGCCAGGCAGGAAGAAGGCCCAGCAGGGCTCCCGGGGAGAGGGTGTCCCGTGGGTCCTGCTGGTGGGAGAGGAGGGAGCTGTGCAGGGGACACGGAGTGGGGTGGGAGCGGTGGCAGAAACCACAGGGACAACATGATCTCACTCGTATGTGGAATCTAATGAACCAGATAAACTGATGAACAAAACAGACCCAGAGGCACAGAGGGGGGAACAGATGCTGAACCTCAGAGCTGGGTGGGAAGAGATCAACCAAAGACTTTGTATGCAAATATGCATAACCATGGACCAGACAATAGGGTGCTGAAGGCCTGGGGCGGCTAGAAAGGGTCAATGGGTGGGGGCGGGGAGGGGACATGTAATTCTCTCAGCAACAACAAAGAAACCCACTGGGACAGAGGTTCCCCAAGCCTGAGGAGGGCCAAGGATCTGGGGGGCTGGCTGGTGGTGGGCGGGAGTGCCCCCCCCCCCCCCCCCCCCCCCCGGGAGCCTCTGCAGACTCCTGCAGGAAAAGAAAGAAGTTTGAAAACTCCGGACGGAGGAATCCCTAGGTTTGTTGTGTTCCCACCAGCCCTGCCCATGTTCTCATCTGCCCCCATCACAGGCCACCCTGTCCCGGAGGGGCCAGAGGACCGGGAGGCTGGGCAGGGTGGGAAGGCACAAAACGTCCCGCCCGGGGCCCCTGGGCCCGTGCTCCCATCGTGGGCTCTCTCCAGGCTGCTGTTGCCTGGGCTCCTGGTCCTTGCTTGGGAAGGGGAGGGCTGGGGAGGTAGGACGGGGTGGAGCGGCTCCCAGGAGTCCCAGGCCCGGCCCTCCCGGCGAATCCAGGGAGCCAGGGGCGTCGGGCTCGGGAAGGCCAGGGGCTCCAGACAGGCGGCCGCGTTTGCTGGCTGTTTCTTTCCTCCGACCCTCCGAGGCTCCGGATGCGTGTGAGCTCTCGGACCTGCACTGTGCTGAGGACGCAGGCCATGGAGGCCTCTGGTCCTCCCGCGCTGGTTTGCCAGGATAACTGTGTCCCAATTTAGCACCAACGGCCTCACTGACGCTCCCACAGGCCCCAGAGCCCTGCCCGCTCTGCCCGCACGCCATGGGCCGGAGGGATGGGAGCCAGCGTGGCCCCCACACGCCCTGCGCACGGCGCTGGCCTCGGAGGGGCCAGGCCGGGGCGAGCCCAGCTTCCGGAGGACGGCGCCGAGCGGTGCGGCCTCGAGGAGCTGCGGGCGGCTTCTCAGCAGCAAACCCGGGGCGTCCGAGGGGCCTGAGCCACTGTGCGGCTTGGCGAGCATCACTGGCCTGGGACCGGGCCAGAGGCCAGCGCTCGCCACCTCACGGACGGGGGCCCATGTGACTGGAGCGTGAAGAACGGGGCTGGGGCTCGTTCCAAGGAAAAGAGAAACGCTAGAGCGAGAGGGGTGGCTTTCCAAAGCGAAAGCAGAGCTTCACACAGGAGTGAGGACAGCATCTCCGGCTGTGGAGGGGCCCTGAGGCCTCCCGGGGCGCTGGGCGTCCGCTTGCCAACCACTGCCCAAGTCCGCTACACCGTGCAAACTGCAACTGACCCCCACCGCCGGAGCCGGAGCCGGAGCCGGAGCCGGAGCCGGGAGCCGGAGCCGGAGCCGGAGCCGGGAGCCGGAGCCGGAGCCGGGGAGCCAGAGCAGAGCCAGAGCCGGGGAGCCAGAGCAGAGCCAGAGCCGGGGAGCCAGAGTCGGAGAGCCGGGGAGCCGGAGCTGGGAGCCGGGGAGCCAGAGCAGAGCCGGAGCCAGAGCCGGGGAGCCAGAGCCGGGGAGCCAGAGCCGGGGAGCCGGGGAGCCAGAGCAGAGCCGGAGCCAGAGCCGGGGAGCCAGAGCCGGGGAGCCGGAGCCGGGAGCCGGGGAGCCAGAGTCGGAGAGCCGGAGAGCCAGAGCGGGGAGCCGGGGAGCCAGAGCAGAGCCGGAGCCAGAGCCGGGGAGCCGGGAAGCCAGAGCCGGGGAGCCAGAGCCGGAGAGCCAGAGCTGGGGAGCCGGGGAGCCAGAGCAGAGCCGGAGCCAGAGCCGGGGAGCCAGAGCAGAGCCAGAGCCGGGGAGCCAGAGCCGGGGAGCCAGAGCCGGGGAGCCGGAGCCGGGAGCCAGAGCCGGGGAGCCGAAGCCGGGAGCCGGGGAGCCAGAGCCGGGGCGCCAGAGCAGAGCCAGAGCCGGGGAGCCAGAGCAGAGCCAGAGCAGAGCAGAGCCAGAGCCGGGGAGCCAGAGCCGGGGAGCCGGGGAGCCAGAGCCCGGAGCCGGGGAGCCAGAGCCGGCGAGCCAGAGCCGGGAGCCGGGGAGCTGGCAGCGGTGTGAGAGCCCGCTGTCCGCTGAGCCGCACGTTAGACTCACAGACCGTGTGGCCATGCCCCTCTTGCCACTAAATTCTCCTTTTGGAGCGAGGAAGGGAAAATTTTTATAGAAAATTCTTTCAGACAAGCTTATTAATTTTAAACAAATAAATCTTTAAAATATTTTTGTTTTGATTAGATGTAGCTTACACACAGAGCCTCTTTGAAGTCCTCAGTAATTTCAGAACTAGAGCTACCATACAATCCGTCCAGCTTCAGGGGATCCACCCAGAGGAAGTGAAGACAGGCCATCGGAGAGCTGTGCTCCCATGATCACAACAGCTCAGACAAGGAAGCCGGAGAGCCAGAGCAGAGGCAGAGCTGTGCCCACCAACCGGTGAATGGAAGAAGGAGATGTGATAAATATCACGGAACGCCCTTCGGCCAGGACATCCGCCATCTGAGCAACACGGATGGAGCTTGAGAACATTATGCTGAGAGAGGTCAGCCAGAAAGAGAAAGACTGACACCCTAGCCCAGTGGTCAGCAAACTGCGGCTCGCGAGTTTGATTAATGAGTTTGCCGACCACTGTCATATACTACCCTTCACCTCTTTGCACACAATATGCCACAATGGCCTAATCCTCACAGCTTCCAACTACACGGTAACATTTAGTCTAGCAGTGGTTGGCAAACTCATTAGTCAACAGAGCGGCAAACTCGCGAGCCGCAGTTTGCCGACCACTGCCCTAGCTGGTTTAGCTGTGGATAGAGTACTGGCCTTTGGGCTGAAGGGTCCTGGGTTTGATTTCAGTCAAGGGCACATCCCCGGTTGCAGACTTGATCCCCAGTGTGGGGTGTACAAGAGGCAGCGGATCAATGATTCTCTCTCATCATTGATGTTTCTATCTCTCCCTCCCTCTCTGAAATCAATAAAAATATATAAAAAAGGGAGAAAGACTGATACCATATATTTTGTATAGTATGTGCAATCTAAAAGGAACCAAACTCAAAAAAGGAGTGGATGGTGGTTACAGGGGCTGGGGGATGGGTGAGGTTAGGGCACATACCTGCAATAGGAAC